ATGACTTGGAGTACTTCTTTCCAGTCCCTTCTTGCCTGCAAGGTCTCTTTTGAAAAATCAGCTGACAGCCTGATGGGAACTTTTTTGTAGGTGACTGTCTCCTTATCTCTTGCTGATTCTAGGATTCTCTCCTTCATTTTAATCTTGGCTAATGTAATCATGATGTGCCTTGGTGTGTTCCTTCTTGGGTCCAACTTCTTTGGGACTCTCTGAGCTTCCTGGACTTCCTGGAAGTCTATTTCCTTTGCCAGAATGGAGAAGTTCTCTTTTATTATTTGTTGAAATAAGTTTTCAATCTGTTGCTCTTCCTCTTTTCCTTCTGGTACCCCTATAATTTGGATGTTGGAATGTTTAAAGATGTCCTGGAGGTTCCTAAGATTCTCCTCATTTTTTTGAATTCTTATTTCTCCATTCTTTCCTATTTGGTTGTTTCTTTCTTCCTTCTTGTCCACTCTATTGTTTTGAGTCCTTGTTTCCTTCCCATCACTATTGGTTCCCTGTGCATTTTCCTTCATTTCTCTTATCATAGCCTGAATTTGTTCATCTAATTTGCGACCAAAATCAACCAATTTTGTGAGCTTCCTGATCACCAGTGTTTTAAACTGTGCATCTGATAGGTTGGCTATCTCTCAGTTGCTTAAAAGGATGGGTTCTGGGGCTTTGATTTGTTCTTCTGTTTGAGCCATCTCTCTTTCTCTTTCTCTCTCTCTCTCTCTTTTTTTTTTTGGTCTGGTCTAGTCTGTTACAGTAAGGGTCGGAGCCTTAGGTGTTCACCAGGGCTGGGCACCCCAGTTGCTGGGTTGTGACGTTGTATGTGGGGGCAGGGTCGAGAGGAAACAATGGCGGTTGCTCCATTCTCTGTGGGACCTCAGTCCCCTCTGCTGCTTCCCCCAAGCAAACTGGGCCCCTCTGGTGCCAATTCCCTTGTGGGTGGGCCTATGCATGCCATGGGACCTTCCAAGGACCTCTCCTGTGAGGCTGGGTGTCTCTCTGTGTGTCTCAGGGTCCACCCCCTGAGATCCTGCTTGCCCCAGATTCCTTACGTACCCACCACTCTCTGCTCTCCAAGCCTCGACCTACGCCTGGCTGCTCCTCTCTGCCCCTCCTACTGGTCTGGATGAACGGGTCTATTTCAACTTCTTGGCTGTCCAACTTCCATTCAGATCAATTTTCTGTCAGTTCTGGGTATTATTCTGCCTCTAAATTGTTGTTCCAATCTTGGTTGTGCGTGGAGATACGGTGCATCCACCTATGCCTCCATCTTGGACGGAAGTGAAATGTATTTCTTATAGATTAAAATGTGTGTAGATTATGTATTGTTATGTATAACAATATATAATTTCAAAGACTATTTTGCAAATAAGTTTGTTATAATTCAATACTTTTTAATTATTTAGCACATTCAGTCAAGTGTTCTCTTTTTTAAAATTACTGATATTCTTCCCACATTGAATAAAATTTAGTCATTGTCCTGAGAAAATTCAATCAAGTAATAGAAACGCTTCGCCAACATAGTTCCCACTGCCTGATATACTGGCACTATGATATGAGCATCTTGTTGAATGATAATTATGCAAGGACAATATTTGGGTGGGACACATATGTCTTTTGTTCAGTGTAATGACTTCACTGCCATGCCCAAATGATTATTACCATTATTATTTTATGATGTGATAAATAGGTAGGTAGCTAGATATAGATATATTATACACTGAAATTCTCTGAAACCCATTTGATTAAATATTCTGTGTATATGTTAAGGGTATGAATACAGTACTGAACTGATAAACACTGTGATTCTAGTTACCAGTTGTGACTGCTCACATAGTTCCCGCTTCATGCATAACTGGTCATTTCTTTTCTTTTTTAAGGTTTTACTTATTTATTTTTTAGAGAGAGTGGAAGGGAGGGAGAAAGAGAGGGAGAGAAACATCAATCAGTTACCTCTCTCATGTACCCCGACCTTGGACTGAACCTGCAACTGAGGCATGTGCTCTGACCAGGATTGGAACTGGTGACCTTTTGCTTCACAGAACGATAGCCAACCAACTGAGCCTCACCAGTCAGGGCACACTTCTTGATCTTAATCTATAACTTCCTCTCACTCTTGTCCAGTCACAACCTAGACTGAACTACTGTGGAATCTTCAGTAACTTATCTGCTAATTTCCTTTTGCTCAGTGTACATTAAATGAGCACATCAGTTCCATACTTAAAACACTTGGCAGCATCCCATTATTCTTAAAAGTCCCAAGTCTTCACTACCTGGCATTATCTTGCCAACTTTGCCTGCTTTGCTTCTTGACAAGTTCTTTCCATTCTCTCTGCTCTACTCATATAAGTTCTTCCTCAAATGGGCTGAGTTGGTTTCCACCATGGAAAATTCCTCCATGATTCTCTGATGCCTAGGAGGCATTTCATTTTCTCTACATCCAGGTAACTCCTATTGCCTTGCAGTTTGGGTTATTGGTCTCCACCTCAGGACCTTTGCTCTCATAGCCTCCTTTACTTGTCCATAGGAGCAGTTATCACAGTAGTATTTTTAAAAACTAATGATATCATTGCTAGTTTATTGGCAGTTCTTTCCTCTCACTCATAAGCTCCATGAGGACAAGAACCATCATTTCAAGGAAAGATTTCAATTATTATTCACTGAATAAATAAAGAAATGAATAAATAATAAGACAAGTATTGTGTTTTTAAGATATGTTTAGATGTTGCATGTGGGTAAAAAATCATCTGCCTCATGTTTGTTAATTTAGCCAAAGCTAGAAAGTTTAAATGTGACAAAACCTACAGCTCTTAGTGTTCATGCAAATCTTCAGAGAATAGGACATAATTGAAAATGGGAGGTGCTTTAAAACAAGCATGAGATAACCATTATATATTGTAAGATAGAAAAAAACAGAGGTTAGTAAATATTTACATATATGTTAAAACACAATTGAAGTTAAATATGTATTTATCCTGACTAGTAATCTCATGAATTCAAGTGTCTTTTTAAGGTTTGCTCTAAAAGGACAGAATTTTCTTCCAATATTGAAAAAATTGTTAAGTAGTCCAAAGGACTGTTGACTTGTATCTTTGAAATTGTGATGTGTGTTATAGAAAACTACATTTATTAAAACACATTTGTTTTAGAATTGTGTATTCTCTTAAAGGTATGAGTTGTGCATGTGATGAGAGAATAATTTCATCTAACAATCAGATGGTAATTAATTTACACTGGCCTAAGTTACTTAGCTCTTATCAACCCAGTCCACATGAAAGTACTGTATAGATTCTCTCCAACTTAGGAACATAGCAAAAGGCATGTTTCTTATGTTTCCAATAAAATGCAGAGAATAAACAGAGCAGCTTTAAGACATAATACAGAATGTCAGTTTATCATGATTTTGTCCAACCTGATTCTGTTCTTCTCCCTTAGATACTCATGTCAATGTATTCAAGTTACAGACAAGAGGGACATACGTAGTTTGGAAAATATACTTATGTGGTTTCTACTTGCCTCACCTCCACACTCCATCCCTAGCTGATAAGCATTGCTGTATTTTGTACCAATGCATCTTCTTAGGATTGGAATTACTGTGTCCATAGTGACAGATTCCCCAGAGGGCATTCAATGGTTCTGAAACTAAATTTAACTTCTTTCCTATCATCATTCTGACACAGCCATTCCCATGAAGGCTTCAGTAATTAAGCAGAAACAGATGCAAATCTCAACTACATACAGTGTTTGCTTCTTGAAATGGGAATTTTATCTCCCATTAAACACTCTTCAATTTCTTAAATTCTGTTTCTCTGTATGGAGTATGGCTTCCTATAGAATATTTCCACATCCATCCCCAAAACAAAGAGACACAATATATGTAGACATATTGATTTAGCTACAGCAAATAACAGTTACCAATAAGAACAACTGCTGATTTGTCAACAGGGCAAAAACCAGCAATGCAGAAGGTCAGAGATTTATTTTTACATGTGGAAAAAGAAAAAAAAAAGAGATCTTGTGAGGGTGTGGGTCAGATGGTTATTTTACATTAATAAGGTTTGCTCAGTAATCATTCAATGTTACTTGGGCTTGTTAAACCCAAACTATTTTTCAGAGTTCTATTGCAGAAATTATAATCAACTGTATCTGAAAGGTGGTCTGTCTTTTGTTAGGATTTCTTAGAGCCAGGTGGCTATCACTTTTGTGAGCCCAAAGATCACTTTTACCTTATACACTAGAGAAAGATTTTAGAAATTAGCTCAGCTGTGGACCAGGTCCTGGTTCTATGACCTCTCTTCCATGACCCACATGCAACAAAGTCCTCGACTTTGAATCTGGGCTCCTTACATATACGTGGAAAGCAAATATAATAGATGTTTGTGCTTCTCTTCTATGTAGTCCTGCTTTAAGATATTTTTCAGATGTACCTAACAACACCCTGCTGTAACTTTCCTCTGGTAACTGACTGGTTAAGAAAATATGGTTAACCATATTATCTATAATACTCCAAGACTAAAACATGAAGAACTTTCTCTTTTAGCAAAATAAACCAGAACTTGAAACTCCTGCCCTAATAGATTGGGATACTGTTTTAATATTGATTAAACAATTCAAATCTTTCTTTATAAATTATGTGTATAGGCCTTTAATACATTTATTATATAGAACATGTCATATTACTTATATTTTACAGTAAATATTGACTATTCATTTCCATGTGGGTACTTCTTATTTTATGATTCTGAATTTTAAAGATTTAAAGATGGTGGGAATTATCTTTGGTGATTTTTTTATATTCATTCATTTATTTATGTATTTACCTTTTAACAAAAGTATACGGAATGCTATTATGTACCTGGTAATATACTAGGTATTATGATCACATCAAATAACATCTACCCTCTCCCTCCCTCTAAATACCTGTGTATGATTAGTGTTGACATGTAACTGATGTCCATTCTATACATACTTAATTAAATTTAAATGCATTTTAATCTTGATTTTCCTAGTTCTGCCTTTAAAACGTGAATTTGAATATGAACTTATATTTAAATCTGAAAAAATGAAGTCTGAGTTAAAGCCCTGCGTGACTATATCTATGACAAAGAAATGTTATCATATCAAGACTCAGATGATAACATTGGAGTTTGACCTGGTATTTTCACCAAAGAAACCATTGAGGTACACCTGCTTTTTATCCTTTTTTCTTTAAGCAATATTATTAGTCTTTCAAACTAAATAATGTTTATTTTCTTTCCATTTTTTTCTTCCATTTTTTGATATTTGGATTGTATTCCAAATACAGTCCAAATGCTGGTGCACTTGATGCTGTTGAGGTAGATATTTTGAACTAGATTATTTTTCTAGCTATACAGCTGTGAAAGGTGTCTGATGAGGAAAAAGAGTCCAAATGATTAGAAATTTAAGATACCCTTATTGTGACCTGCCTATAGTCATTAGGGTATAATATTAACAAAAGAAAACAGTCTGCCTTGTAAAAATAAAAAGGTGAAAGGGAATATCATTATGATAGTTTTGCATAGTGATGCATAGTTACTAGACTTAATGTGGTGATCACATGTAAATGTCTAATCATAAATGCTGTATGCCTGAAATTAATCGAACAGTGTATGATGACTATACTTTAATAAAATGTTTTAAATGAAAAAAAGATCCCTGGCCAGTATGACTCCCTAGCCAGCCTGTGAACCAAAGGGTCACTGGTTTGATTCCCAGTCAGGGCACATGCCTGGGTTGCAGGCCAGGTCCCCCGTAGGGGGCATGCGAGAGGCAACCACTCATGGATGTTGCTCTCCATTTTCCTCCCTCCTTTCCCCCCTCCAAAAATAAACAAACAAAATATTTTTAAAAAAGGAAAAAGAAATATTGACTTTGCATTATACATTGGCAACGTGATGTTTCTTGATGCTTCTCAAAACTAGTTCAAATGATAACAATCCTGAAATATGCTCTTACTACTTTGCAATTTCTGTCATTACACTTTTACCACCTAAAGCCATAACGTTGCATAAAGTTTAGTAATGTTTAAGAGGGTTATATTGGAATCTGTTAGAATAGCAAACTTTGAATATCCACTGGGATGCTTCATCCAGGATCTTTATATTTGCTTTGTAGGTAACTGATACTTAGTACCTGCAAATACTATGCAATAGGTCACATCTGAAATAGGGTTTTATTTATATCTTCATGAAGTGATACTGATTTTATTTATATCTTCAAGCAGTGATACTGATCAGAACCACAATATGCACAAAGTACAAAATGTAGCCTGGCAATGAAAAAACTATTACAAGTATTACTTGTGTTTTTAATAATTTCTGTACTTCACCTATGTATCTGGTGTAGCCAGGTATATATTTAAAGTGGTTGTGAATATGTAGTCCAATAACTAAAAGATATGAGGGTCATCTTCACGAAGTGGTAATAAAATCAAGCCGCAAGAAGAAAGTACACCATAAACATTGACATAACCCTGTTTTCTCTTCTCTTTCATTTTCATAGTCTTCTATGCTTATTTGTCAGTATTTTTACACATTTAGATTTGTATTGTGTTAATTTTAGTGATATGCAAATTACCAGCAACCAAAAGAGAAAAATGTTATTAGTGAATATGAGCAGAACCAATGTGAATTCATACTCATTTAACATTTTGTAGATTTAGAACTTCTTCGTGAATGTCTGAGAAACTTATTTAAGGACAACTTCTATGCATGATTCATAAGTTTTTGTGAGTCTTGTGTGATGTTCTGATGTAGTTTAAGAATTCTATTTTGTGCATGTATTTATAAATATATTTATTTTTGTCATTCCTTCTTCCATATATATTTAGGATGGTTCACTGCAAGGCACACAGTTAAATGAGAAAAACTAAAATAGAACCAATTGCTCTGAATTATGAAAAAAAAGAATATGATTATACCCAAACTATGCTTTACCAAGATAATTAAAATATGTATTAAATTCAATTCTTTCTTCCTGGTTGGAAAGGTAAAAAGGAAAAAAGAAAGTATCACATTTTGGTAAAAGGAAAATATAACATGTTTTACAATAATAAATAAGGGGTAATTTGTAGCATCCATCCTTTCACAGAATAGTATTGTACATAATAAAAATAATGGACAGGGCCCTAAATTGTGGTTTTACAAAGGAAATAAAATAGGAATATTATTCCTAAAGTTCTTGACCTTTTCTTTCAATAAAAATCGAGGATTTAATGCAAATACTTAAGAGAGCAACAGTTAATATTATCATGAATCTCTCTGATGATTCTAAGTTAACATAGATGTGACCTTTTAAAAAAAACAAAGGATAGATATCATTTGTCTTAGGTCATCTTTAGAAAGAATAATTATCTTAGCTCAACTTTTTCCTGGAAATTTTTACCTGCTCAAGAGAGGAACAGAATGAGAAACCAAAGTTCAATTTTACAGACTTTGGGGGAGACAACTTAGAATAAGAAATATCACATATGTACATTGTTAGAAATCCACAGTATTGGCCATAAAATGGTTCATAAAATCATCCCTGAAACTGAGTGGTATTCTTTGCTATGGGCCAAAATCTCTGTCTCAGTGGCTTCCACTAACTCAAAGAATTGGCCTGCTGAATGAAATTCGTCAACATTGTTCATTTGAACATGTTGATTTATTTATTCAAAAATCATTTAGCATCTACAAAAAGGACAAAAAAAATCCTGCATTTTTTGTTATATGGCCTAGTGAGTACAATAGGTGAGAGAATTACATGTATAAGTAACCAAAACATTTCAGATTGACCTAAGATGGAAATAAATAAGGAGGAATACAGAGCTATGAAGGGTATATATCAAGTAAGTGGACAGTTAAGATTCCTTAAAAGGATAATGTCTGAACAAAGACATAGATAAGATCTTGGAATAAATGCAGGAGAACATTTGACATGAATACTGTCGTTAGGAGGCCAGTGTTTCTCTAATGTAGTGGGCAAAGGAGAAAGTCGGTTTGAGGAGTTTGGAGGGGATCTGATCACATAGAGTCTTGAGGCTATGAATTTGTCTTTTATGGTAGAAACAACTGGAAATGACTGAAGGATAAATTGGGGGGACTCATTTAGGACAATTTGTGCACAATTTGTGCACAATTTATAAAATTCTGTGAGTGCTGGGTGATGATCTGTTGTTGTTTAACAATGCTACTTTGTGCATAGATATGCATATTCCTTGATTTCTCCCATTCCTTGCTCCATATGAATTTGGGATGGTTCAAAGGTAGATACAGAGTTAAATAAGAAAAACCAAAATAAAACAATAGCTTGAAATTATGGAAGTCCTCTCCTCCTTGGTAGATGGCAAGAATAGAATCAAGAAGACCAGTTATCAAAATAGTGCTCTTGAAATAGTGCTGAGAGGGATACAGTTTCATTTACTATGACAGGAGACTGCGAGAGAAGTACAGGTGTAAGGTTTACATTTTGCATATATGTTCAATAAGCTATATTAGTTATTATGGGCTAAGTGTGCTGTTTCAATACAATACACTTTATTATCAGCATTCTGTTGAAGGACTATGTTTGAATTTTGGCACCTGTTTTTTGATAGTATTAATAACGCAAAAGTGAACATCCTCATACATATCACTTCTTGAAGTCTTTGATGCATATCTCTGGGGGAAATTACTAATAGTGAAATTGCTTGTTTAGTGTGTGGGGCTTCAAAATTTGGTAAGATATTGTCCAATTAGTCCCTAAATGGTTGGATATCTATTTAAAGAGGGTAAGAGTCCCCAGAACTGTTCTTTCTGTTCTTTTCCATAAGAGGATTCTGATTTCTTTGTCCAATGTGACATGTGATATTGCCACATCATGTTTGTGTCATTTCCACACTAAGCAAGCAAAGAGGTATCCATTCCTCAACTTCGGCTACTACTCTGCCCCCACTCAAAGGCTTAGAAAGGCTATTTCTACTCTCTTCATTAACTCAAGTACCACCAAATTTTATGTTATTGTATAGGCTGTGTGTGGTCATTATCAATAACATTACAATTTTTTAAACTTTTGCCCTGGCTGGTGTGGCTCAGTGGTTGAGTGCCAACCTACGAAGCAAAGAGTCGCCAGTTCAATTCTCAGTCTAGGGCACATGCCTGGGTTGCAGGCCAGGTCCCCAGTAGGGCGCACATGAGAGGCAACCACACATCGATGTTTCTCTCCCCTTCTCTCTCCCTTCCCCTCTATAAAAAATAAACTAAATAAAATCTTTTAAAAAAAATCTTTAAGTCAGTGTTATGGGGCTTTGTTAAGTGTTCCCAGAAAATAGGATTTTTCTAGGTGAAGCAAGGGTTGAAGAAACTTTTTACAGTGTTTTATTTTGAACAGAATATTTACGTTTGGAACATCTATTAGCATAACATTTGGGACCATTTGCCAACCTCTCTTCTGCTGGTTACAGAAAATTTTCAGAGTCAGATCTACATATGTTCCTGACTTTTAGTAAATAACTAAAGAGTAAATAACATATGCCACAAAATAATTACCTCAAAAGGAGAATGATAATATAACTTGTGACCTAAAAATTATTTTGAAAGTGTAATTCACAGTCATGTACATTTTTTAAGAATAAAACTTCCAGTGTTTTTAGAGAAACCACAAAGTTTGCTTACATTTTTCACCTTAGATTTTGATCTGCTGTATTGTATTCTCTTTGCTTGTTATCCTATAGTATCCATTATAATCTTTTTTTTCTATTCAAGGTCTCAAGTTATACTGAGGATAGAGTGCAAAACGGATGGGGTCTGGAACTTTCCCATAACATTGATTGCTACTGAGCCTGATGTGGATGGTGTCATTAATGTTGCAGGGACTCGTTTATTGAAGGAAGCTGTTACTAAAGTATGGCTGTCAGGTGGGAAAAGGTAATATATATATCAAATAAGAGTATATAACTGATTTTGTGAATGTAATTTATGCTGAACTGAGGAACAAAACTTAAAATGAAAATTTCTATTGTGTCATCTTTTGCTGGTTAAGCCGGAGCAATATTGCTTCTATGAATCAAAGCTTTATATATTTCATAATTTGTATTTAAAAATTTGAAAGTAGGTCCTACAAGGTGAAAACCAAAACACAAGAAGCAAAATTAAATAATTAGATGTTGAAATTTAGAATAATGTTTCTATTTATTTTTCAAATGATGTTTTAATATATTTGTTCAAGATAAATGGAATGTTCTTCAGTAAATTTTAATGGCTTGGGATTTGAAGTAGTTACTTATTGATTTAATTTCCTATGTTATAATTCTGCTCAGCTGTAGCTATCTTTATTATACTTGTGATAACATGGGCAGCATGATTTCCAAACTTTTCCCTATCTCAAATGTGAAATATGTATTTACAGCTTTTCTGAGTTATACTATACCTACCATAAGCTCATCCATTGTAAGTGTACCTGCCAATAATTTTTTGGAAAAGTTATAGAATTTTCTATCATAACAATAGTCCAGGTCTATTATTCTCCCATCTCTTCCCCAAATTTCCCTCAAACCCTTTTGCAATCAATGATCTACTCTCTGTCTCTATAACATTGCCTTCTTTGGATATTTCATATAAAGAAAATCACCCACTATGTCTTTCTATACACTTTTTAAAAAGCAATTTTAGGCTTACAACAAAATCAACAGGAAGGTACAGAGATTTTTCTTACACCCCCTGGCCCACACATGCATAGACAGCCCCCTCCATTATCAGCATCACTCACCAGAATAGTACATTTGTAAACAAAGATGAACCTACATTGACACATCATGGTCACTCAAAGTCCATAGTTCACCTTAGGGTTCACCATTGGTGTTGAACATTCCAAGGGTTTGCACAAAAGCATAGTGACATAGCCATGATTATATCATACAGAGTATTCTTACTGCCCTAAAAATCCCCTGTATTCTCTCTATATATCGCTCTTTCCCACCCTTAGCAACTGCTAATCTGTCCATTTTCCCTATGGTTTGCCCTGTATTTTCCCTATAGTTCACTTGGCTAGAGGTTTATCAATTTTATTGATGTTTTCAAATAACCAGCATATAAATGCCTCCCGAAATTCTATATTCAAAGTGCTGACTGGGGTCTGATGATAACTACTCTAATTTTCTTTGCAACAGGGCCTATGTAGGTCAGATCTCTTATAAATGAAAGATTGTCTACTGATCACAGAAAGCCAACCTTTGATAAGCAGAGTGTGAAGGGTTTTATGTTACTGGGTCATAATGAGTACATTCCTCACTTACATTATACAAGATCTGAGACATGGAATAGGGGAAGGCAGCACTTGACTTACTCGTTTTCTTCATTTCTAAAACAAATGACTTGCCTGCCTGTGTTTCATGATGGCTCATGCTAGTCCATGTATGCACCATAGAAATTAAGTTTACAAAGGAACTAGGCATGCCTGGAGGCATCTTATGCACTTAGTTCTAAATGAATGATGGACAGTTAAATGTACAATCACCTGTTATATTTGGATCTCTTAAATGGGATAAGACTGAGTTTCATTTAGCCATCTTGAATCCATTGTATTCTTATTTACAACTTCCAGAGATATTTCAAGTTATTAGGTATTTTGGATTACATGTAAATTGATTTAATGCATTCAAAAAGTTTTTCAGGGCTAGTGAAATAGTTTCAACTGATTTCCTCATAACCAATATTTTCCTCAAATGCAACATTGGAAAAAACAATTGGAATAAGACTCCCAAATTATATTTTTCAATTATATACAATGTTGTTACCATTTGCTGCTCCGAATTCTACATATATTTTATTTCACTAATACCATCTGTAGTTCCTTGCATTCCAGCCCATTTTATACATTGTAATAAAACCAATCTCCTTAGAACAATGTTTTAACATGAAACTTCCTTTGTCAAAAGCATCTGATAGTTCCCTGTTTCTTACCCAAGGTGGCATCTAAATTATATATGCACTTCATGGTCCTAGCCTGCTCAGACCTTCCAGATTTCCTCTGCTGTCTAAAACAGATCTTCTCTTCCCATCTTATGGTAAAAGTCACTATTATCAGAGCCTGTCTTACCCATTGCTCTTTAGCATTTGTCTTCATTTTCTTTCTGCTTCTACATGCCCTTCTTAACACCTCTTCAACTTTCTGATTTCTACTCATTGTACTTCTTATTCACAATAAAATCTTACTTGACCAGTTAGACTTTAAACTCCTATAGCACTGTGTAAATCATTCATTGTTTTTCTTTTAATGCATGTGCCTTATCTTTGCAGCAGGTTTCATTTATATATATTCATTCCTTAGGCAATGCATAGGTCTTATTTCTTTCTAATTTTTCCTCGTCTTTTGTATTTCCGGTAGTGAAATTTGTTCATAATTAGATCATGCATCAATGCCTAGCACTGGTAATAAAATGCTTCAAAACAACAATCATAATGATGACTATGTTACTATTGATTGATCTTCATAGAGCAGTTTCCACATGTCAGACACTGATTTAATGGCTTTATAGAAATTAACTTCATTTAACAGATACGAAAACTGAGGTACAAAAAGGCTAGTAAATTACCTGAAGTCATGCATCTAGATAGAACTAGCATCCAGGCCACCCATATCCATAGTCCACCTTTCAAAGCCTCTGCCATGATGCTCAATACATATTTCCTGAATGGATGAGGAAATCCCCTCCTGAACTCCCTATATCTTCTATGTTTCACTGCTGGATCTGTTCTGGGAAACAGTTCTTTACCTTCTCCCTGCCTCTCCCTGCCAGTTTGGATTTCTATTTTCTCACTTACAACCTCCCATGCACTGTGCCTCTGTCCTGCTTTATTCTCCCAAAAAGTTCCTCAACTTCTTCCATAGTCTTCATTTCAAATGTAATCAACCTTGACAGGAAGCTGGTCACTTGAATCTTACATGTCACTCAATTCACTTCAGATCATAGCAACTCATCTTCAGGCCCAAGGATCTTTAATGAACCAGTAAACTACTTTCCTCTCTCTTCACAATGTGAGAACAAAAGGAGAGTGAGCAAATATCACATTGGAAGAGTAATAAAAACAAAAGCTTTATAACAGCTATTGAGTTCAGACATTTTAGATAAGAATTTATTTACAAATTACTGGGTTTTCACTTAAGACATTGAGTTATTCCAAATGTTAGTATAGAAAGCATTTTATTCTTTGTACACTATAAATATAAGAAGTCATGGAAAAAATCTTTAAGATTCCATTTTGCCATACTGGGAAGAATGACATTCTTCAGTAATGTTTAAGATGCTTCCTCACTGTTATTCTGTAAGCATCCCAGAAAGTGACAAGTATCAGACTCACAGCTGCATGGCAGCGTTAGTGTTTAACTTTAGCCAGTGCACAAGGATATAAACTCTGTTCATCGAGTTCTTACAAAGAGACTGCACTAGTGATAAAATTTAAAGATGATGTTTATATTTTTCTTTCAGATATGCTGATCCATTCACTGCATACTTCCTACCTGGTAGTGATCCTGAGTTCTTCGTAAAACCTCAGGCTGGAGAAATTCCTCCTAGTAACACTGATAGAATTGTCCTCACTGTGGGTTATACACCCAAAACATATGGTAGGAACTACAGAGCAAAATTAGTAATACAGGTGAGTTCTATAAAGGCAATAGTCAAGGATACTTGTTGTCACTAAATGCATTAAATCATCTAGGGCACAGGTGGCAAACTCAAGGCCCATGGGCCAAATCCAGCCATCCACCTTGTTTTATCCAGCCTGGCACCTTGTTTCTACCTGGTGGCAGCACCGAGCTCTCACTTGACTGTTAAGGAGTAGTTACATGTATACAGTCCTGAAATCACATTCGGCCCTTTGAAGGCAACCATGAGGCTGATGTGGCCCCTGGTAAAAATGAGTTTGACACCCCTGACCTAGGGAGAAAGGGTTACACCCAATGATCACAGTTAAAGAATAGCAATATTGTCATACAAAAGTGGAACATTTCAACTGCTCTGCCTTATTTGAATTTTCTTATGTCCAGTAAAAAAACTTTTAATTATGGACTACAACAAAAATGTTGTCATCACCAATGGGAAGTAAGAAATGATTTTCCTTCCATATTAAAGAAATGGGGAACAGACAAATAATAACTGCAAAGTAATATTATGGTAACATAATGTTTTGTATAATAACCTAATCAAGGACTTTAGGTGATTTGAGAAAGTGATTTTTGAAAACTTTAAGGCCTAAGGTAGTATCAAAATGTTAAAGTCTAAAATGGAGAAGATTAAGTAGAAGATAAAATTTATTTTGAATTAAAAAAAAACAACATACACTGTAAAATAGGCCTGGCCATTACTGGAAAAGTCTGTTAAAGTGATCACTTCATTAAGAGTTAACATGTACAATTTTGAAAATGTACCCAAATTTCTCCATAAAATTTTTACACATGTATTTTACTAAAAACATTCAGGCTAAAGACAACTTTCCAATTATGTATGAAAAAAATGCCACTGCCACCCTGACTGGTGTGGCTCAGTGCATTGGGCATCGTTCTGTTGAACAAAAGGTCGCCGATTCAATAACCAGTCAGGGCACATGCACAGGTTGTGGGTTTGGTCCCTGGTTGGAACACATACAAGAGATGGCCCATTGATATTTGTCTCCTTCTCTCCCTCCTTTCCCCACTCTCTAAAAATTAATAAATAAAATATTTTAACAACAGAAAAAATTTTAAAAGTCACTATTTCAGTAGCACAGGCACAGAGGATATGTCATCATGTTTCATGACAATCATTGATGCCAAAGTGATCACCAGACTTCTAAATAAGACACCCATTAGGCAGTGCTGTGGGCATCCAAATTAGTTGTTACTGCTTTAATGAATAGAGAAAAGAATAATGTTGAGCTGCTTGAGAACAGTATTTATATTTTTCACTTTTTTGAGAGTTTTTGCAACCCAGGTAGTAAAAATATAAAGCCTCTAGAGTCCTGCTGCACCTCGCCCTTTGCTGCACTGATACTTGACTTAAAATGATCATGCTGCTGTACCTGCTTCACAGGAAATAAGGACAGCCTTTTAATCAAAGGGGATTAAGTGACATCTTTAAAAGTAGATTTACAAATTAAAATGGTGATCACTTTATCTAAGGTACAGTGGACATTTCTGAAATTGCCTACTTAGGACATTTTGCCAACTAAGTCTGTGACTAGTTGCCCTCTGTCAATTTGACAATGCAGTCACTGGAAGCAGAACTGAAGGGTTTTTGTGAGAGAATAAGATGGTATATGGCATCAGCTGAGAACATGATGTTTTCATTAGTAATGAAGTGCTATGTTTTGACAAAACTTGTGTGGGGGACACTGAAATTGAACTATGTTTAAGAAATCACCATTTGGTTGATTCTTTTTTTATTATAGAAAATTCCAAATACGTGTAGAAATAGAGAATAATTCATCTTAATACACTTATCATGCAGTGCGAACAATTATTAACTCATGGACAATCCTACTTCAAGTATATTCCCGCCCCTTTCCCCACCTTCCATATTATTTTGAAGAAAATCTCAGACATCTGCCCTGACCAGTGTGACTTGGTTGGGCATCGCCCTGTAAAGCAAAAGGTTGATGGTGCAATTCCCAGTCAGGGCATCTGCCTGGGTTGCAGGTTTGGTCCCCAGTCGGGATACATATGAGACACAATCAATTGAAGTTTCTCTCTCATATCGACATTTCTCTCCCTGAATTTTTCCCTCCCTTCCCCTCTCTCTAAAAATAAATAAATAAATAACATCTTTTAAACAAGAAAACAAAATTAGAGATATGCTATTATCTACAATTTTTATTAATCTGTAAAAGATAAAAATAATAAGCATGATATGTTATCATATCTAAAAGTTGAAAATAATTTCTTAAGATCAGCTCATATAAAATACCCATTTAGTGTTCAAATTACCATTGACTCTTATTTCTTTAATTTAAAAATATATGTATAGAGTGTTAGAATAAAGGGCATGAACAACTTATTAAAAATATATTTGGATTATATATTATGTGCTATATATAAATATACATACACACCATCATTTATTGCAAACTTCTTTGTATCTTATTTGAAATACACACAATAACATTTAACAATTATTTTCAAAGGGTCTTGGAGATACGTTGGGTAAAAGAACAAATCCTTACAGGTAGTTCCCACTTATACCCACTAGGTTTCAGATAACAGTGCACATCCCCCTTCACATAGCTCCCTCAGGTATACACACTGTGTGGGTCCTTAGTGCAGGTCTCTCTTTTTTTTAAATATGTTTTATTATGCTATTACAGTTGTCCCACTATCCCCCCTTTATTTCCCTCTGCCCTAGGGCAGGTCTCCTAATGTAGCTTATCCATTTTCACTAATGAAGTGGGTCACTTGTAATGTACAAATTTATAATACATAAGCACAATCACCAAAATGTAGCTTTGTTTTTCAAATTGAACATTCTTATATGAAGTAAAATGTTATCTAACTCAAATGACATTTGGTTTGTTCTGCTTTTGACTCATTGCTTCTGAATGCATGATTACTGTGAACACTAGATAGAAGGGCCGGTTATGATTAAAATAAGGCCATTCCAGATGCGCAAGCAATGCCTGCACTTAACATTCTTTGATAAATATTAAACCCTGATGTTCCTACAGTATTCATTTGACCTGGACTTACCCTGAATGAGTTTTCTGAACATACATGGTACAAATGTATGGTACAAATCTTACTGCAAGGAAGAAATCCTAGATGAACACAAGCAGCGTCAGGAAATTCTGCAGGAGCAGTAGGATTTAAGTATGAGCAAAACCACACAGAAAATGCTAGACTGCCTAACATAATATTGCCATCTTGTGCATTATGCAAAATAAATGAAGGATTTTAAAATAAATCCCTGTATAAATTGTACTGACTTGGATTTAGATTACGATTTTCCTTAATAATTTTACACTATTCTCAGAACTTTTAAATGGTTATATTAATTATGTACTTTTATAATAAAAAATGGAAGCAGCTCCACATATTTTGGCAGTCAGTTCTATAGCCACACTTAAATTGTCATGTATAGGTTCACCATGCAGTGTACTGTTTCCGTTAGTTACAGTTACTGCTGGGCTACACTGTCATGCACACCAATAGATTGCTTCCATTTACACAGGATGGATGCTTAGTTCATTCACAGGGCAGACCTCTAATTGTGAAAAACTACTTAGTGAATGCTTCTTAATACATAAAACCAAATGCTTTTCTGAATTGATTTTCCATATTATTTGCTTTTATCCATGCTCTTTCAGTTTTGTATATTTCCTAGACCTTACATGGAGAAGAGAGGTGTTAATTTGATAAACGTTTTCCTACAGTTTCCTCAGTCCTTGCATATTTTGTACAAAATTTCTTCCTCTCCTTGTTTCCAGACAGAGGATAGGTACTATTTGTATGCTGTCAATGGATTTCCTGAAGTCATTGGGCCACCAATGAATGTAAAAGCCAAAATTGACACAACTAACAAGAAGTTTGATGAAAGGCCAATTCATCGGCAAAATTTTATCACTGAAAATGCTAAGCTCCTAAGTACGGGGGTGTCATCTACCATCAAGGGTGCCCCTTTGATGCTGAAGAAAAAATAAATGTTTTTTCAAAAATATTTCTTGTTCTTAAGTAAAACAACATATTTTTGTGATTGTTATTTCATCATTTTACTATTTCTAAAGAATAATATTTCAATTATAACAGGTCTTATATATTTTATGTTTAATGGTAAATCTATTCTCTGAATGTTATACCTAATTTCTCAGTTAATGGATTGGATGCAAATATTGAAATTGGTTCAATTTTAAACTATAGGAGTGCATTTATAGTAAAACTGAAAACTGTAATTTTGATGATAATACTATATCTATTACTGGTGCTGTTCACTTTCTCATGTTGATATTGCTTATGAGCCTTTAAAACATTAATGGTAAAATTAGCATATAAGATGGTGTTAGAAATGCAAGAGAAATAGGAGCAGAAGGAACCAGATGATCTGATCCAAGTGCCTTTATTTGATGCTGCACTTACAGGTGGGCTGAGTGGGCATCAACTGCAATCCCAAGGGGCGGGGCAAGAATGGGGTTTTTAAAAGAAAAAGGGCAGGGTTTGTGAGGGGTTAGGGGAGAGGTTAGTCTCTTGTTCTTCCAGGCAGGTGCCTCAGGGTTCCAAGATGTGAGCCAAGATGATGGATTAGGTAAAGCGCCTGGCTGTTCCCAGGTACAGGAGGGTCAGTCTGACCACAGGCCATTGTGGCTGCTGCCACAATGGTGTCTGTTTGTGGTGGGAGACAGTTCTGATTAAGCTGTGAGCTATTAATAGAGTTGGGACAGCTGAGTCATGGGCAGCCCAGTGGGTTGGAAAACTGGCCTGACTGGGTCATGAGCAGTCTGGCAGGCTGGGAAACTGGCCTGACCCTTTCAGATGGAAAGATTCACAATTTCTGATATCCATTATTTGGAATACTAAGTGCTATCCATGAGTTTTTTAACTTCAGTTACTGTGTTTTTCAGTTCTAAAATTTCTACTTGGGTCTTCCTTATATCACCCATTTCCCTGCTGTTGTTCTGTTTCTTTGCTGATACTCACTATTATTTCAGACATGTTCACAATTGCTTCTTGAAGCTTTTATTGTATTGCTTGTTGGAAATGACTGCTTTAAAATCTTTGTCAGATTATGCTAACATCTCCACCACCTTGGTGTTGGCCCTTACTATCTTTTTTCATTCAAATTAAGATCTTTCTGGTCCTTCATATGAAGAAGGATTTTTTATCTGAAACATCTACATTTTGGTATTATGAAATCCTGAATCTTATTTAAACCTTCTGTTTTAATTGGTTTCATATACTAGCACTCCAGCAGGAGAAGATGAGACACCAACTAGTTACTGCCAAGTGAGGGTGCAAGTTCAGGTTTCCCCTCGACACTCCATTGACACTCAAGGAGTGGGAGACTTCTCAGTACTGCTTGGTCCACTGGGAGTTCCTGTTCCCCATTGGGCATCCAGTAACAGTTCTGTGGCAGTGCCTAGTTCTTGTTCCTTACATGGCCCCCAGTGACAGCACAAGGAGGGTGTCCTCATCATGAGTGCCAGGTGGTGAAAGTCCTCTCTCTTCAGCACCCCAGGTGGGAGGGGCAGGAACCACCTTGTTACTGTAGCATGTAAATAGTTCAGGCCCTTCATGCAGTCTCCCTGGCAATGGGATGATCAGAGCCTTCTTACTACCTAGCAGGGATGAGTATGGAAGCCTTGCCTTCTACTCAGCTTTCTCTGCCACCCCTCCAGAGAGGGGTTGTGGCACTTCATTACAGCCTGGCATGTGTGAGCGTAAGGGTGGGGACCACCATTTCGCCATCACTTGTTAGTGAAACCACACTTTTTTCTGGGATTTGGCTGGAGTAGAGAAGTTATTGTCTAAGTTTTCTGTCCACTAGACTGACCTTTTCCTGTTTTTTGAGTTCCAAGGTTGTCTTTAACCAGTCTACCTTCTCCTCTTCAGGTTTCACAGTTATATCCATCCACCTATCTGTATATAGAGAGAAATAGATATATGTATATGGATACAGATTTTAGTTGTACTTATTGGGAAGAAAAGGGATAAATAAATTTAATCCATCTTCTCAGGAAAAGAAGTTCATTTCAAATTCATTTCATTAACTCAGAGAGAAAAATAACATGGATGCTTTAAGTTTCCTCCAGCATCCTTGTCATCCATTTATTTCAAAAGTCAAAAGGGGCCCTGGCTGGTGTGGCTCAGTGGATTGAGTGCTGGCCTGTGAACTTAAAGGTTCCTTGTTCGGTTTCCAGTCATGCCTGGGTTGTGGGCCAGGTCCCCAGTTGGAGGTGTGCAAGAGGCAACTGATCTATGTATCTCTCACACATTGATGTTTATCTTCCTCTCTTTCTCCCTCCTTTCCCCTCTCTCTAAAAATAAATAAATATGTTTAATAAAAATCAAAAGGGGCTCAGCTCTATGAACCTCTTTTTTGTATAAGAAGCCAACTTCAGCATAAACACACCCCTTTGGAATTTTCCTACTATCTGCTTCTCTTCTCAGCACCAAGAGAAATTTAAAAAGTAGAGGTGCTGAGGTTAAGCCCAATGCAGTCCAGGTGAAGGGTAACATGCAGTCCAGCTGCACATTAATGAGCCTCTGAATGCTGGCCTCCCTGAGATTCTTCACCATTTGAGGCCAGGCCTCTGTCATGTCTGGTAGTATCCCTGTCCCACAACATGGGCTTGGGAAACCCCAAAGAGCATCTCCCATCCTCTCTATACAATGGCTCCAAGCACTTGTTACTGAAATAACTGCTATGAACTTTTACAAAATATTTTAGTTTTAGTGTTTGTTTTTTTTTAAATCATTTCATCTTTCCTGATCATAAACTGACAAAAATATAAAACAGCCAAGTGTTTTGATTAAATTAAACAGTCAAAGATAATGTGCATAACTCTCTAAGAAAAAAAGACCTCGTTTAGCTTCAGTATTTATTTGCCTCTTAGATACTCAATAATTGCATTTTTCTGAAGTGACTTCTTGCACTAAAATAAATGACTTAAGAGTGTCTTATTGCTGACACAGATCACAGTTTGTTGCTAATGGAATGTTAACTGCTTTTTAAGTAACTCTGAATAAATCTGCTGACCCATAAAAGATTCATCTAAAAGAAATCCAATTAATTTTCTGGCTCTGCTAGTACCATTGATGTGAAAAATCTTCCATATTTTACTTTGTTTCAGCCATTGCAATACTGAGAGTGGCACCTGGCTTGTCAAAAGAGATTTTAATTGAGAGTGGTGACACATTTAATAATACGTCAAGGTAACCATTTAAGAAACAAACACTCCCCAGAAGAAAAATGATATTCGAGCATGTTCTCTGGGGTCAAAATCATCTCCTGAGTATGGGGATTTGCTCCATTTCAAAGATCAGAAAGGCAGTGCTGAAATAGCATTCTAAGGTTTCCAAAGAAAAACAAAACCTGTGACTTCGGCTTCATCCTTGTGGAATTAATCCCCTGTGTGATTTCGTATCTGGGACAACTGCTCACAGAGGACAGTGCCAAACTTCAACAAAACCAAAACTCAGTGCCTCAGTGGATGTCTTAGTGGCCTGAATTTCCTCAGTGGCTTGTGTGCCTTTCTGCCCCATGGGCCCAGGTAGAATATAGTACCCTTTAGAGCATGGTTTGGAAATGGGGGCTGTACCTTTCCTCCAGGTCTCCATGTTAGTTATTATTCTTTGAAACAATAATACATTGTGTCTGAAAATAAAACAAAAAAGTATGAAATATTTATTTCATACATTTATTTTTATAAGTCAAAAAGGTGAATATTAAGCAAACTCTTCTCATAGACTTATACCACAGTCCTCCAAGAATAGATACACCTAGTAGTTAAACAACAGCTTACAGCCCTGGCTGGTGTGACTCAGTGGACTGAGTGCTGGCCTGTGAAGCAAAGGGTCACTGGTTACATTCCCAGCAAGGACACATGCCTGTGTTGTGGGCCAAGTTCCCCAATAGGGGGCGTGTGAGGCAACCACACCCACATGATGTTTCTCTCCCTTTCTTCCTCCCTTCCCTTCTCTAAAAATAAAAAAAATCTTTAAAAAAAAACAGCGGCTTACAAGGACTTGCATAAGTTGTGCTGGCTACAGAGACAGATAAGCAGGCTGTAAATTGGTTTTAAGTTGCAATCTTCTATGTTTGAGAATAGAAAATTATGAGTTATGTGACTGTATGGGATTTCATAATAAAAAATGATACTGAATCTACATTTCAGCATTGCTGGCTCCTAAGCACAGAATTCAAATTATATTGCCCAGAAATACAGTCACTGTGGGACCAAGGCTGGGTGCTTAGAAATCAGCCAGTCCAGAAACATCAGTTCAACAGGGCCTTTCTACACTATTGAATATATAATCTTATTTCTATTAAAATATTTTAGTAAGTAAACAATTCTCAATTATAAAGCTCAAAGATTTTTTTATATATGTATACAGTTACGATACCAGTAGCCAGATCTAGATACAGAACATATTCAGCTCACAAGAAAACTCCACTGTACCATGTCCTAATTAATACTCCCTGTAGGGTTACTATGATTTCCAACACTACCATGATGAAATAATTATAGCTGTTTTGATTTTCATACTAAAAAATCATATAATTTGTTTTCTGGTTGGCCACCTTTCACATATTTTGTGACATTCATCCACATTTCTGCATATATCACTTTCTTATTGCTGAGTTATAACCCACTATATGAATATATCACATATAAATATAGGTATTTGTCCTTCCACCTGTGGTAGACGTGTGCACTCTTCCCAGGTTTGGCTCATGTACAAAGCTGATGAGAACGTTCTTGTCCATGTTATTTGGGGCATTTGTACAGACATGCCTGTAGCGTATATAGCCAGGAGTGGAATTGCTGGGTCCTAGGTATGTTTTTTTAGCTTTTTCAGTTGTTGTCAAAGAGTTTTCCAATATGGTTTTACCAGTTTACCCTCCAACCCACTGTGTGAGAGTTCCAGTTACTTTTTATTCTTGCCAACATGGTATTGTCAGTCTTTTTCATTTTAATTGTTCTAG